TTTCAACTTTGAGTATTTACAGTCACCTCTAATTCCCATGGCTCTGCACCTAAAAACTCACTATCTCTCTGTAATCTAGAATCAGCAAGGCACCTTCATTCCCCTTTGCCCAGTATTTGTAAGGACAGCCGCTCCTCTTCATTGCTATGGCTGACACCCTGGTCCAGAACTTCATCATTTTACCATCGACATTAATTGAAGAGTGATTCTTTGTTTGGGGGGCGTAGCGTGGGGGGAGCTGTCCTGTGCATTGCGGCATATTTAGCAGCATCTCTGGCTTCTGTCCACTAGAGGCCAGTAGCATGCCCTCCCCTGAGGTGTGACAACCAAATGCCTGCAGACATTGTCAAATTTCCCCTGGGAGACAAAATCATCCACTGTTGAAAAGCACTTTAGACTGACAACCAAAGACCTCTGTTAAATGTTAATTCCTTAAATTTCTCCAATCTTTTTTTTAATTATTCCCAAATCCCTTCTGTCAGATTCAATCAAGAACATGTAATCCTTATTTTGCAATTTCCTTCACTCAAAGTACCCTTCCTCTCACACTCTTCCAGGCTGTTTGCTTATCCCTAGATAGAGTCACCCACAGCAGAAAGGCTTCTAGAATTAATTGTATACCTTCATATGATCACTGCATTTTGTTGACATCTTTTCTTCTCAGGACCCTTCGTGATCTTTCATTCTCTTCCTGTGGCCTAGATGCTGATATTCTTCAGTGTTCTATCCAGAGCCTTCACTTGTCCTTACTCTACATTCTACCAAGATTAGGTCTTCTATTCCTTTCACTTCAATCTGTAACAATGACCACCATCGCTCCTGCTCCAAACCTGTATCTCCAGGATGACCTACCTCCTGAATGGTTAACTGGTTTTCCAACTAAGAACAAGACCCCTGAAGAAGAGCCTACAGGCCCCTCAAAGTCAATAGGTCCAAAAAAGTGCATTTTCTTCCCTGCCCAAAGTCTTCCTCCAATCTACTTTTTTAAATAAATTTTATTACAATGCATCCGAATACTGAAAACAGGAACCTCAGAATCTCTCTTAACCATTTCAAATCACCTGCGTCCAAATCTATCCCCTCTCCCTCCCCATTGCTCTAACCAGACCAAGCCCATTCTACTGAAGCATCTGGGCCCCTCACCTCCAGTCTGTCCTTTCTCTGGCTAAGCCTCACCTGTCTCTCCCCCCTTTAAAACACCACCCTGCTCCTAGGTTTTGACAGCTTCCCATTGCCTATTATCGAAACTCTGTGTTGTGTGTTATATAGAATGTACACAACCAGGCCACAGCCTACCTTTCTAGTCTCCATTTGCCCTGTGCACATCCAACATTCCAGTCACACCAGTCCAGTCACAATTCGCCAATGTGTTCCATGCATCTCTCACTCGGGCTCCTGTCAGAAAACTGACACCGCACTAGGTTTCAGAGAGAATTCATTAAAGGGAACGGTTGAACTGGTGTTTTGGAATTTGGAAATGAGAAGAGGACATTGAAGTCAGAGATAGTAGAAACTGTATAAGCAGGGAGCAGCACCGCTCCTGGGCAGAGGGATCACAGGAAAGAGGATGGGTTATTAGCAACTGAAAGGACTGAGGGGAGACCCCACAGACATGGGGGGACATAATACTTAGCTGCTGCCTGGGACCTCTGAAACCTGGGCAGGGCCCCTTAGAGCTGAGCTTGAACCTCTAGGGAAGGAATGCTGCTGGGTTGGTGCAGGAACCTTCTAAGGGGAGGAGGGGGTGAGGAAATAAAGCTGGTCTGAATAAAGCTACACACTGGGACCAAATGCTGCTACTGGGGTGAAGGGCCATCATAGGGCAACACTCCCCTGTCGGTGGAAGCCGGAGACAACGTGCAGAAAGAAGGGTGCTTTTAGAGTTGAGAGACAATTGCTTAATAACCAGCACTCTGCACTTGCAAGTCTCCCTGTCTGTACTCATACAGCTTCCCCATCCATAATGCTCCTTCTACCAATATCTGCCTGGAGTGCACTATTGTTCAAATACAATCTCCTTCCTAGAATCTTTTCTAATCTTCCCCCATATAATTATTTACACCAGCATCTCAGTTCCCCTAGCATTTTGCAAATACTTCCTTTATAGTCTCTTTTTGTGGCACAGTTATTTCTGCATGTTCGTTTTATTTGTTTTCTGCCAAACTGTGAGCTCCTTTAGGGCAGTTACGACAGTACAATCAAGCGGGGTGCCCGGCACACGACAGATGTTGGCTGAGGTGGATGGAATTGATAAAGGCATGCTAATGAAATTATTATTAGATCATGTCTTGCCTATATTTTATCTTCCCAACCAGACTTGAACTCCATAAGAGCAGAGATCACGCTTTATCACTTTTTATCTGTTTGGTGTTCAGTAAAAGGCTTCATATGCTGAAGAAGAGCTCAGTGATCTTTGTTAGCCACCTAGTTTATTCATTAAGCACCACAAATTTGGCTCAAAAAGACATGAAGATGAAGGATAAATTTATGAATAGCAGCAAGTAAGATCTGTAGTGAGGTTCAGATGTGCCTCTAGCACGTGATTCCAACAGAATGCCGCACATAGCTGAAGTTCTGTGTTTGTTGAATAGCACAATCAGGAGACTAAATGTAAAAAGTCTTATAGCGAATTCTAAAGTAATGAAAATATATTCTAGATTTGATTTTTTCTGTTTATCTCTTACAGAAAAAAATTTACTTCCCCAATCCATGATATTATGAATCCTGGGTTACATCTGTTCCTTGCCTAGTTATTGAATTTCTCACACTCACCAACATCAACTAGCAGATTATTTAAGTGTAGGAAAGGTATTGGATTTTAACTTAATCACCAGCTTCTTGGGGAAAAAAAAAAAAAAGAAAGGAAAAAGAAAGAAATCTCTGTTCAACAACTGATTTACGTTCAAGTCCAAGAAGAAAAATAGCTTTTTTTTAAGGGGAGCATTATCTAATTAACTATTGATTTCTTCTCAATTATCCAAGGCAAGCAATTATTGATATTGATAGAACAGATATTTCCCTACCTCTAGTGCCCAAATGGAAGGAAATATCCCATTCAGCAATCTGCTGCCTGGGACTAGAAATGCTAAGAATCTTTACCTTTAAATCGAAACAGTTAGTTGGATCTGTTTCTTCCATGTTACCCCAATTAAACAGATATTTCCTGAAGTGTAAGCAAAACAAAATGCTGAAAACCTGTGGATGCTTCTCAAATTAACAACAACCAGTTTTGACCATGAGTAGAACCACTCTACACTTGTAGATTTTTGCCTCCCAGCTACAGCTCTTGACATTTTTAACCATGACACATAAAATACTATAAATTGGGTCTAATATTCAAGATTTCTACCACCCAATGAGAGGCAGCTTATATAATCGTTAGAGCCCTCACAACACCACCTTGTATGTCAATATTTGGAGCCTGAAGGATTTAGTAGGCCTTAATAGTCACTTCTGACATTTGCAGACAGCAAGTGTGGGTATTTTTGAAAATTGTACCAATACATTATACAGCTGTCTTAGAGGTCGCCAAGGAGTTATTGTGGAAGACGGTAAAACGAGGCCCCATTGAGGGCACTTTGTTATTAACTCTGTGAGTGTCCACTACCATCTTTCCTCAGCTCATTTGCACACAGGGCATTAGAACTTTTGTGTGTAGGAAGCGTCCATTGAAGGTGACATGACTACTGAACACAATTAATGGACAAGCAGCATTATTGAATTACTACTTGGGAGATTTTTTTTTTTTTAATACTTTGAACTTGGTAGTAATATTGAGTGTGTTTGTGTGCATGTGTGTGTGAGTGTGTGTGTGTTTAATTCATGTGGTACCCCTGGGGAAATTTGACCATGACATTTTTTTAAAAATGAAAAATGTTATAATTTATAAAAATCTACTTGTTCTGCTCTGCCCCTACCCCCCCACCCCGCTCCAGAGTGGTTCTATATAATAAATGCTTAAGCAGCATATGTTGTTGGAAGTGTTCTTGGCTCTTTTACTCTTTGTTGTTATTTTAATTTCCCTGGGTCCTATTTAACATTCTGCTAAATCAGTGAAACCTTGATTATCTAAAAGAATAGGAGACATGGAATTAATGAGGATAACCAGAACTTTGAAATAAGTAATTATTAGAGATGAAAATTACATGACAGGGACCATGAATGAATTTTCGTATCTGGAATTGCTTGCTTGATTTATTCAAACCGATTCTATTAATTGACGGACATAGTGAAATTTTGGTAATCAGGGTCTCATCACTGCATTTTTTATCATTCCGGGAAATCAAGGTAACCTTGGACTCTACTACTTCCTGGATTTACAAGGCAGTGAATATCCTAATAGGCTGTCAGGGGCAAATATGAGGGCTCATCCTCACTCTCCTCCCACTTTCTCTCTTCTGATCTGGCTGCCGCCTGCCTGGAGCATGCTGCCTGCCCCCTCCCCTCCCCCCCTCCCCTCTCTCCTCCTGCCTCCCCCGTAGGCTTTGTCTTCCCGCATGCTGCCGCTGGAATCACCTGCAGGGAGAATGGCCCACCCCTTTGGAAGCTCTTGGTCCTTTTAGCCATACCGCTTTGCATTTTAACTACCATTCATCTGGCTTTAAAACTCGGCATTCTTGTATCAGGGCACTTGTCCTTTAAAAACGCAGGAGGTCCCAACAGGTCCCAGTCCTATGAAGAGAAGATACTGCCAGACCAGGAGCATTCCCTTACTTTGTACTCGATAGCCTGACATGGACAATGATACTATCCAAGATCGCAGCAAAAATCTGTACGAAAAGGACAAATACGATTTAAAAAAACAAAGGCAGCAAACTACATTTGTTTGGAAATTGGGAGTCGCGTGCTTAGTTTGTGGCGGGGAGGGGAGGGGAGGGGGGCGGAAACACAGGATCCGTCGAGCTGTGTTTAAGCTGAAAACCTGCTGTACTAGATGCACTGAACCGGCTTCTGCTTCTCCTCCCCGCGCCCCACCCCACCCCCCACCCCCCGCTCTGCAGCGAACGTCTGCGACAACGAGCTCCTGCACTGCCAGAACGGAGGGACGTGCTACAACAACGTGCGCTGCCTCTGCCCGGCCGCGTACACCGGCATCCTGTGCGAGAAGCTGCGGTGCGAGGAGGCGGGCAGCTGCGGCTCCGACTCCGGCCAGGGGGCGCCCGCGCCCGGCTCCCCCGCGCTGCTGCTGCTGACCGCGCTGCTGGGCGCCGCCAGCCCCCTGCTGGTCTAGGCGCGCCGCCGGCCACCAGCCCGGCCCGGGCCCGCCGCCGCCGCGCGGGGGGGGGAGGGGGGCAACGCGACCCGCAAGCATTCGCTGCGACCATAGGAAACACACCCTCAGACACCCCCACTCCGACACCGTGTACACACTAAGAAGGCCTGACTGAACTAAGCCATACTGATCAGCCGTGGACAGCACATCCGAGTCAAGACTGTTCATTTCTGACTCCAGAGGCGTTGGCAGCTGTTGATCCTACCACCGCAAATCAAATGGCCAGCTGCAGAGCTTATTGCCGCCTGGGAAGGCGCGACACCCCCCCCCCCCCCGCCCCGACACAGGAAAGACAACAAACAAACAAATCAAGCAACCCTCAACCGCTCGCTACTCCCCCGTGGGGCGCCCCAGCACCAGGGGCCCAGAGTGTGGACCAACCCAACAGAAGCATTCTTTGCTGGCGGTGCACTGTGGGTGTAAAGAAATCTGTTACAAGCTGCCATATTGGCCTGCTTCAGTCCCTGAACCCCTTCCAACCTGTGCTTTAGTGAACGTTGCTCTGTACCCCTTGTTGGTTGAAAGATTTCTTTGTCTGATGTTAGTAACGCACATGTGTAACAGCCCCCTCCAAAAGCTCAAGCCAGTCATCCCCCCTATATCTTAGCAGCACTGAAGTCATTCCCAGGGCGAGCACACATCCGCTGTCCAAGAGTGGCTCTAGGAAAAAAGAAAGTGTACCTATCCTTTTGTATTCAAATGAAGTTATTTTTCTTGAAATACTGTAATACGTAGATTTTTTGTATTCTTGCCAATTTGTGTTACCAGACAATCTGTTAATGTATCTAATTCGAAGCAGCAAAGACTGACATTTTATTTTGTCCTCTTGCGTTCTGTTTTGTTTTCATCGTGCAGAGATTTCTCTGTAAGGGCAACGAACGTGCTGGCATCAAAGAATATCAGTTTACATATATAACAAGTGTAATAAGATTCCACCAAAGGACATTCTAAGTGTTTTCTTGTTGCTTTAACACTGGAAGATTGAAAGAATAAAAATTCCTGCGTAAATGATTTCAGGAATTTGTATTGCAATTTCTTAAGATGAAAGGAGCAGCCACCAAGCAGTTGCATACTCACTTTACTGGTTCCTCTGTGGACTGAATGCATTCAGCTGACGAATTTAGTACCCAGGAAGATGGATCGATGTTCACTAGCTTGGACAACTTCTGCAAAATATGAGACTATTTCCACTTGGGAAAAATTATAACAGCAAAAAAAAAAAAAAAAAAAAAAAAAATCTAAGCGATTGCCAAGATCATGCCAAAGCCTGTTGGCAGAGTACTAAGAGACTTTAATTTTTAAGTCATGCTATTTTCACAGATTGATGTGATCATGTGACTCCAGGGATGGTGATCTGTGTATCTTTGCAAATACAGTGTTTACATGGAGTATCATGAGAGGCAACCTGGAGAACCAGGAAAGTGGCAGGGAAATTGAGTGATTAGCAATTTGATTGAATATCTACAGACTTAGTATTTAGAGGAAATAGCAACATATACAGCAGCAAGGAAACATAACTGCTGTTCCTGAGAATAAAGTTTGTTTTAAGTACCACCCGAGGTGTAATAAATTGTTTCTGCCTTTTAGCAGGCCAATGACTGCACCAGACAGAGAGGGCTGGGGTGGTACGGGGGGAACCCTTGCAAAGTCTCAAAGTGGCTCAAAGAGTGTGCGTTCCGTTCCCAGCACGCTGTTGTCCCACGGCTTACAAATGTGTTAGCAGCAGGACCTGGAATCAAAAACAATTATCAGCCCAAGCCAGAGTCTTTCGGACAATGAAGTCCTTCATGACTTGGGAGAGCAATAATCCATGATAGTGTTAGGTTGGAAGCCTGCTCCCGGGCTGAATTCTTCACCCCACCATGGGATGGGGGCCCGGGGCGGGGGTGTCTTCTGATAAATAACCTGGGCGAAAACTAGATGAAGGAACATCGTGTCTTCTTGGTTTTGTTCCCAGAAAGGCCAATTCAAAACAGGCAATACAAGGTAAACAGGTAATGCCTGTGCTGCCTGCCACCCCACGTCTAAGTCGATTGAATATTTGTTATTCAAACCAACAGTCTCTTTTGATGTAAGAAATAAGGAAAGATGGAAATAAATTCGAGCGCTGGTTTAGTGCCAGGGTGGCCAACCAGAAATTGGAGATTTACATTAGAAGCATAAACAGCAAATTATAGTTCAGACTCACCAAAGAATACACATGAAAATGCTGATAACACACAGAGTTTGAGATTACTTATAATGAGGTGGATTTCTCATATTAAAATTGGAATTTAGGTTGTCTTATAGTTTATTAGCACAAACCAAAGGCAGACTGTGTTATTTCTAGTAACCATGCACTTTATCATTATCCACTCATGGCTTTGTCACAATGCTCAGGAATCAGACTCTGCACATTGCAATACATGGGATTCCAAAAGCTAATTCTAAAATTTAATGAAGTCTTGATCTAAATCAATTCATCTGCATTTTATCTTTATGAGGCTATAAGAATCTAAATTGATGAGGAATATCTTGCGTTCCATGTATTTAGATATAGTTTTCTGAATTTCCTGAAGTGATGTGATCTGCTTTTAATAAAAATTCACTTTTAGGTATATAACAAATGGAAATGAAATGTTCTTTTTAATCTGGATTCTCAAGTTCTTCTAAAGGGCTTATTCCTTTGAAGGAACCCCAACTCAGTGGATTTTTATTCATCTGCTGCCCTCCAGCATTCTTGCAAAGCGGGTTCCAGCTACCATATTATGTCTTTGAGAACAGGGCTCGGCTGAAAAGTGGGGACTAAGCTGTTCACATACTTAAGGTCCCAATTCTTGCTTTGTCAACTTTCTCGCAGAGTAAAAATATAATTCCATCCATCAGCATCATGAATGAGCATAAAACTGCAACAAAATTTTTGTCCAAAGGCTCAGGTATATACAAAGTATCACTATTTCTAAGACAGTAATTAGACTGCTCTGCTGTGATATGGAAGTGATTTATTCCTGACCATGTACCACCCTAGACAGAGCATTTCTTTTTTTTTTTTTAAAGATTTTATTTATTTATTCATGAGAGACAGAGAGAGAGAGAGAGAGAGGCAGAGGGAGAAGCAGGCTCCCAAGGAGCAGGGAGCCTGATGCGGGACTCGATCCCAGGACTCTGGGATCATGACCTGAGCTGAAGACAGACGCTTAACCATCTGAGCCACCCAGGTGCCCTAGACGGAGCATTTCAGTCCCAGCAAAGAGGGACCTTGCTTAAAGGGACCCATTCTGACCCTCCTGTCACTTGGTATTAGTAGCTGGGAACCTAGTATTTCCTACCCAGATAGCCTTCAGCCACTTCAAGGGCATGCATGCACCTCTCCTGGGGACCCAAAGTCCTAAAGGCAAACAGCATAGTGCATCATGACTGCAAATCCCTGGGCACAAGGGGTGGTCAACAGTGAGTCTGTGTGGATAGATTAGTGAATCGGCCCTGGCAGGCAGTGCACACTGGAGAATTCTCACAGGAGCGAGAAGAAGCCCCTTGCGGTGAAAACCAGAGCTCAGGAATGGAAGGAAAGGGGCTAAAGGTGGGAGGGAGAGACTAGGGCTACCTCAGGGCCAGGGTCCAGGACCCAGGACGGAAGGAACTCTGAGCAGGCTAAGGACTGTAAGTTGATACCTGGGTTTCCAATTCTTACAAAAGCATTTGTGTCAAAGTGGCAGATTGGAACGTATTTTATTCAACCCTGTGTTAGCTTGCCACATAACTTTTAACTGCTTAGCCATTATGGCACATGGGCTTCCATTGGTACTTTTGTCCTGGTCCCCAGCTGGTGGATCTGCCTGGACGGAAACACTGCATGAGGCGCCCTTGAATTAAATCGCTAAGATGGCACAAATCACTCACCCGGGTAACAGAAATGTGAGGGTTGGGGGGAAGGCATGGGCCACAGTTCAGCGGTTCCTGTTATGAATGCTCTGCCGCGCCTCTTCTCAGACTTGTGCTGTGGACAAGGAAGTTTGGGATGGACTGGGGGCAGCTGTGAGGAAACCCTGAAGCCAGATCTTTTGTCCCATTGCCTTCCCTCTCCACCATCAATAATCCAGTATTACTATAGGATGTAAAGACCCCATACTCTGATACGGGTGCTCTGTGCATTATGGAATATGGGTTTGTTGTACTTCACCTGTTGTTGAAGACTAAATAAAATACCTGTTCAACAGTTTCTCTGCTCACAAGCTTGCACAGAATCTGTGGGAACTTTGAAATACATGTTCTATATATTTGTTACATACGGGACTCTGTATCTTATGATCTGGTGCAATTTTAAAGCTTCAGCTTCAGCAGTCTGAATAGAGTTCCTTCCCCACCATGTTTATTCCCGGTCTTTCTTGGTAAGGATGGGAATGGGGGCAGAAACCAAGCTACATGTTAGAACAATATGAATAACCAGGTAAAACTGTAGGATTTTTTTTTTTTTTTGAAAATCCAATTGGACAGCCTTAATGGTATATAAGAATGAAAAACAGAGGTAAGGAACACCCCCAGAGTTTTGATCCAAATGTCTGGTTGTGAGCAATTCCTTCTTGGCCTCAGGAAAGCAGGACTAGATTCTAATCCATTTTCTGTCTGAGAAATATTGAATGTTGATCTGGCACAAATATTCCTACAGTTCTGACCAGTTCCATATAGAAGAGTTTTCCCCTTTTAACTACATTTCCACTTTTTTACACTAAAGTTTTCCCCTTTAGTTACCTAAAACAGATGCCGAGGAATTCCTAGCATAAACTACACATAAACATAATATGATGTAAAAAAAAAAAAAAAAAAACCATAATATGATGTCAGAAAGAATTAAGAATGCCAACCATCACATTTTGAATTTTCACCAAAATCTTGGGAACATGGAGCACTTTTACTCTCCATGACACCTGGGAAGGTGTGACTCACATACTATCTTCATTTGGCATCTGAAGAATCAAGTAACTAAGAAACAGATATATCCCTTGTAAAAATTATATTATTGCACTTAGCTAGAAATGAGAAAACAACATCTGTGAAAAGCCCATATTAATATTTAAAAATGCAATTATTTGAGATCGATTATGGCAGAAAAATTCTGCTCCTAACACATTTTTTGAGTAGGTCCTGAAAAAGCCTATCAAAAAGACTTAAATGATTTTAGGGGGTGTTTACATTTGTACAGTTGAGCATCTAATCCTTCTTCTACCTTCTCCTGACACCCAAGAGCTGTTTTTAATTGATGGATGAATTAAAATGGAGTAGTAACATTTAAAATTATGTGATGCTTTTATTAACCTGAAATGATAGCTGGTGAAATAGGCCATTATTCCATGAGACCTAATTATGTTAACACTGAAGATTTAGCTAGGCTGGCTGAAGCGAACTGCAGAGAATTGGAAGGAAAAATAAGACCCATTTTCTTAACATAGTACCAGTTTTTCAGAGGCATCACTTTTAACTGTTATTTAATTAGTGAAGTATGAATCGTATGGGGGAGGGGGAACTGACTAGAAGAGAGAAAAAATAATTACTACCTCTCCTACATCTGTCTGCATGGACTTTGAAATTCCTGCGTGGCAAGAATGTGTCAAGTTCCGTCAGAAACATAGTGTCCCGCCGTGTCTGTTCCAGCCGCCCTGCCCTGATAGGACCGCATTACAGCTTCGCTCTTACAAGGCGCAGTCATTCTGATCTAACAAAAGAAGGAAAATGGCAGAAAATCACACACCTGAAGTCCTGTTAAGAATAGGTGATTCTTTTTGCCCCGGGCAGGCAAGAACATAATGTCATTTTTGTGCGTTTCTATTTGCGCTCGGAAGGAGGGCCGCTCCTGTGGGGCAATGGTTTTCCCTCTGCTGGTGTGAAACACGGCGAGAAAACATTCTCCAAGGAAATAGCGTTTTGAAATTTACCAGTCGAGCCTACCCCCGTGAAGCCCTGAGTAATTGTTTTGGCTTCCATGGTGTGATAAACACCTAAAGGCAGAGATTAATGTCATCACCCCCCCCCATCTCTTTTTCTCCCCGCTGCAGGGATGGGAACGTGGGGCCAAGTACAGGATGTTGAGGTTTGCAGGAATCCTTCAGTCGGCTGATGCCTAATTATGAGGACCCCAGCTAAATATTTAGTTTATTAAATTAATAGTGTGAAAAGCATTGGAATAGTTTTACAACCACTTAAACCCGTGTTTACATCCTGTGTAATTACAATTCATAATTGGGAAAGCAGTCAAATCTAAATGCATTCTGATCAATGGTTCTCATTCTGCCAAATAGACCCAGCAGCACGCATTACAGCAAGGGACTCTTAAAAGAGGATCTGTTTCTACATCTAGACTTCAAACCAGATTCAGGGAGGGAGATGGAGGGATTCTAGCTGTAAAGTGCTTTAAATTACATGTAAGATTTTGTGTATATATGATTTTTTTTTCCCCTGGGCAAAGAACCTATTACACTCCGTTTTTTTGTTTGTTTGTTTGTTTGTTAATTTATAAAAGGCCTAAAAGTATAAGGATGACTGCTCTAAAACCTAAGATTGAGATTTATCCTAACTATGGAAGTCCTGTTAAATAATAAATTGTAGACAGATGATGAGTGAAAATAACATGAAGGTATTTGAAGGCACAGGTCCAGCAATCAGGTCTTTATTCATTTCATACTGACCTTACCTTGCCTAAGCTGCTAAGGGCATCCATACTCCCTTTTGTAGATAGCTCTTTTAACATGTGCATGGTTGTTCTGGAAGCCAGGCGTGAAGTAAAGGTGAAAATGGCCCAGAGCAGCAGCGTAATGTGAGTGACAAATGATCCAAGTGTCTTGGCAACTTGGTGTGTTTCTCATGGCAGCATGTAGACCAATGAAGATTCACATCCTCTGGGGCCCCGGGTTAACCTTCCTTCAGGGTCTGAAGGATGTTGGTGGTTTGATAAGGGTTCTAAATAAAGCTCTTGGGAGATCTCTGTTCCTAAGCAATATAAATATCTGCATTAAAATGTGTATAATAAAAGCCTCATACTTCACAATCAGTTCCAATTAAATAACTAAACTCTGGCAATTGGATACCTGTCATTTTTCACTGGATCTGAATATGTCCATATTTCCATGTAAATTCTCACCTTAATGCACACAATATATTTGCATTTTCAACCACATGCCTATATTATTGATAGTGAGTGAGGGCTACCTCCAGTTAGAGGCAGATAGCCCTTTGTTGATTTGAGACTCGCCTATTAGAGGATGTTACCATGTAGACAACCCCTCCCAGTTCTTCAGATTGTGTCACCTGAAATATGATCACACTCTGAAACAAAGTCTGAAATGATGTGGGTTCTGATTCTGTTGTCAGGGTTGTGAGCAGCACAACCCAGTCTGCTTTCTCTATTGCAGACATTGTGCTGGAAAGGGGTCACAGTGTTTCTTTTCCATTCTTGTCCTAACATTTCAGAAAGTAAAATATATGCGACACCGGAACACGTTTGGGTTGAATGGCACCGAGTCACTTTCTTTTTGTCTGGTTTGTTTCATTGTTATGGTTATTCTAGTTTACAAGCATT